TGCTGCGTTTGCTGTTGTTGTTGCTGCTGCTGTTGCTGCTGCTGCTGTTGTTGCTGCCAGGCAGAGATGCTGCCGAGGGACAGGCCACCGGGCGAGCTGAACGCGGGCAGCGAGGACAGCTCAGCGCTGGTCAGCTGGTAATCTGCAAAGAGGCGCCCGCATCGAGCACGTCACCAAGTGCCCCCCAAATCCCGAGGTTTTGCCCCAAAGCACAGACCCTAAAGCTCTTCCTTAAGCAGGAGCTCACCCGGGAGATCGCCTGAGTTCGCAGCCCTTTGCAGGCTGAGCGTGGTGCGCACGCGAGTGGTGCTGGAACCGTTTTTGCGGGATTTCAGCCCGTTTTGGCACGCCGCGTCCCCCTCCTGCGCATCGGCAGGTGGCGCTGCCTGTGCCCGATGTGGCCCTGGGGTGACACGGAGCCGCTTGGGACCCGGAGCCGTTTGCAACGCGGAGCCGTTTGCACTGCGGAGCCGTTTGCAAGGCAGAAGCAACGCGGTGCAGCGAGCGCTGCTGCTTTCCTTATCCGTCTGCATCCGATAGAGGCACCTGCAGCTCCTGGGCACCGGAGACACCAACCAGGGGATTCACAACGCCCTTGGGGTGACGGTCAGGGGGTTCTCAACACCCTGGGGGTGACAACAGTCGCCTCCACCACTTGCTCTGGGGGACCCAAACGGGGCCGGCTGCTCTGCAAGCGGCTTCCCGCTGACGTGGGGCAGCGGGCGGACTGTGCACGGACAAATTTAAGGCTATTTGGAGGATTCAGGCAGCACCCAAGCTTGCTGGGAGCGCTTGGGCTGCCTGCAACGTCCCCTCGCGGAGGGGACACCCGTCCCGGGCAGGGTGCCACCCGCTGGGCTCCACCTGCTAATTAGGGCCATGCGCTGTAATTAGCTGAGCGCTCCCCGCGCTCTTACCTGTGTTGTAGGCGGTGGGCATGGCCGAGAAGGGCAGCCCCTGCGTCAGCAGGCTGGGAGTAGCCACAGAAACCACCGGGGTGGTCAGCGAGTGGCCGGCTTGCGAGGCGCCCAACCGTGGCGGGTTCTGCTGCTGCGGGGGCAAAGAGACCCCGTTACCACCCAGGCCCCGTGCGCGTGGGTCGCGGATACCCCCCCAAATCCATATGGACCCACTGGATCCGTAACAAGCCCCTCGGCGAGCTCCTTGCAGCCGCCCGAGCAGGATTGATGCTCCGGACATCCCTGACGCTCCAAAGTGGGACTGGACACCCTGCGGGATGGGGCCCCTCCAGCATCCCGCGTGCCTTAGGAAGCGCCGTGGAAAAATCCTGCCCTTGGCCCGCTCCCCCCCGGCAGCTTTGCGGGCCGTTACGTGGGCGGATCGGAGGGTCGGCTTCAGCCCTGTTTACAAGACGGATAATCTGGGCTGTCTCTGCTGATCCGATTTAAATCGGACTCCAGAGGCTTGGCTCTAATCCGGAGCTGCCGACGGGCACACGTCAGCTCAAGGCCACGTCTTCCCACCCGGCACCGGATCCCTGAGGTTCCCGGCGCCGCTGGTGCAACACGCGGTGGGTTACGGCAAGCACTGGGTGCCCAAAACCCCATCCCGGCCACTGCTGCAGTGCAAGAGCACCCAAAAACATGGGGTTTGCAGCGCCCGGGCACTGCCCAGCTTCCCGCCACCTGGGCAAGGCGATTACCGGGACGCTAATTGCTAAAGCCGGCAGTTTTTCCTGGCCTGTGTCCCGCTGGCCGTGCTGGTGACCGCTGCCCCACACAAGCAGAGCGCCGGGCTGCAGGACCGGGGGCAGCAGTGGCACGAGGCCACGGAGCCCAGGAGCGAAACGTGGGCTCGATTGCAACTAGTGCAAGCGCCTGCAGCCGCGGGGAACGGCGCTTTGCACCGCGACGAGCCTAAAACCGCCCTTAAAACCGCCGCGAGGGGCTGAGCCCGTGGCCAAGGGGCAGGTGACTCAGCGCCCGCCCGCGCACGCGTGGGCAGAGCAACGTGGAAGGAGCGGATCTCGGCGGAGGGGGATTGCTCCTCGGGCTGCTTTTGGAGCTGCTCCAACCATGCACCAAGAGGCAAAGGGCTCAGCACGTCCTTGCAATGAGGCCTCCGGGAAATCGTGACGCGCTCGGAGCCCCGGCGGCCACAAGAGCTGGGCATGGTGGTGCAGAAAAGCATAAAAATAACACGGAAAAGCACAAAATAATGTGGAAAACCATCTCCATGCAGCAAGGAGCCTTAGTGGGGGCATGCTTCAAATGACAGCCTTAATAAGCAAAGGATCTCGTTTATTCCCTCCGGGCCGCGAGCTTGTCCGAGGGTGCGAATTTCGGGCGGGCGCAGGCAAAGGGGGGCGGCGAGATGCACAACTCACCAGAGCCAAGGGGTCCTCCGCCTGCCCGCGCGAGCGACGGGGAGAGAAGCGAGAGGTTCCGTTAGGCGGGAGCGC